GACGCCTAATTATCGACGACGCCGGGTGTGCCTGGCGGCTCCGTTCAGCCTTGCTCCTCTTCTTTTGCCTCCCTTCGTGTCACTTACTCCACTCAACCCGAACGCCCGGGCCTTGCGATGTTCCCCGGAAGTTCGCCTCAACTCTTCTAATGAGGTGGTCTCGGGGCGACTAACAAATGGTTCGACGCCGAATGCGTTTTGTGATGATGGACTCGCGCCCTTAGACACCCGTCGCTTGAATCTTGCCCGGAAACTGACAGGTACGCCTCTCAACCAACCACCCTCATCATTCCCGTTTCTCTTCGCTATTCTCTTTTCCTCCCTTCATATATCTTTGTCTCATTATTCCCTCGTTCTAGGTCTATCCCGAATGTAGCTACTTCCATCTCGTCGTAAAATTCACGCAAAACGTCGGCTCGTCACCCGAAACGACTCCGCAGCGACGGACTTTCCAAATGGCCGCTTCTGAATCCATTTCGTGGCCGTAGGCAGGCCGTCGCGACTGGCAGGTGAAGCGTCGCGCGATTATTGCCGAAAACTAAGCCGGCGTGACGGAACTCTGGCAGGTCCAAGTGAATGACGGCTCCCGCGATGTTGTGGGAAGGGAATGAAATATCGTGGCCGCTTTCTTCTTCTTCTTCTTTTTTTTCTTTCTCTTTCTCTCTCAACTTGTATTCTCTCAGTCGGGGGAAAACGTTCTTTTCGCCCGCAGCGCTGTTTTGAAGAATAATAACAGTACATTTGCGACGTCCGGGACCACTCAGAGAGAAAAATATTTTTAGTTATGAGGTTTTAATGCGATTTCCAATGTTCTACGAGAGGTCGGCAGCGGCGTGGTGGTGGAGGTGGTAATGGTGTAGGAGGGGTAGCAGAACGCAGGTTGTAGCTCCGTCTCCCCCTGGCTCTGTCACTTCTTTCTTCCACTTCCAGGATGAGAGCCCGTGGCCTGTCCCGTTCGTCCTCTTCTGCGACCACGCCCACCCACCCTTCTGCTTTCGGCTGCAATCTCTATGCTCCCTCGTTCGCGCTACTTCGTATTTTTCGTCATATCACAAACTTCAACATTTTAATATTTGTTGCCGAAATTTTGATATTAATTGCCACCTGTCAATTATTGCCATCAGCATCTCTTTGAATACTCTCCCTTACGTTATCTTTCCATAACAATGTTTTCACCATACCCTTCTAGTCGTCCCAAGAAGGTGCTAAAGTGAGATGATAGATCACGTCACAGGCCATGAGCCCTGCTGTTCCGCTTCACCGTGCAGATTTCGTTACGCGTCTTTCGCCATTTAGCAGCGAAAGAAGGTATCACTCAGGCGGCGAAACAGGCGATTAGAGGTTTCTTTTAGGCTTGAATTCTCCTAGTAAACCTAAAACATCGTACAGAAGCATTTACTTACCTTCCTAAGAAAGGCGTACAAAAGATTTTTTCGCTCTTCGATCGGATTTGAATCTGCGAACTTGGGTAAAACAATCTTATACGCTAACCGTTACCCCACCAAAGCCAGCACACGTTCTTCCTTGCCCTCGTCGACGTCATTCCAGCCATTGCCTCATCCCGTCGTTGAAGTCGCCTCCACTTCCACCTTCTCAGATTTCCACTCCCCCTCCGCCGCAGCGTGTTTTGACAGAATCCTCCGCCGGATTCAGCGCTGTGCTGACGTGCGAAGGGGCCCATCGGGAGACGCCGTCCTCGGGGGCGCCATGTCACGTTTGAGACTCCCCCCTCCTTCCCCGCCGTCGCCCTCAACGACGACATTGACTAAAGCTGGGTACACACCTGAGCGCGAAGCACACCCCGAACGATCAAATTCCCCTCTCCACCTGCAGCCCGAGAGCCCACGTTCCATTGGAGATGGACGTTGTGCCCATCGCGAAATGAACGCTGCACCAGCAGCGGAGGTCTGGGACAGAGAATGTACAGAGTGCGTCTTCGGTCCGCGTTCGCTTGACGCTCACACTGACGTTCCGAGAACCGTCAGCGCACCCCCGAACGGAGCGGCGAACGCGGGTGGTGCACCTAGTTTGCGGGGTTCGGTACGTCCAATTATGCCGACGGACATTCACTGTCCAGTTTGTTCATTGAAGGCTCAAGCTCATGTGCCCTGTCTAAGGCACCACCGACGTCCTCAACCAATGTCGCTAGCTTTGCACTTGCCTACGTACTACCATTTATGGACGTTCTCTATCGAACATTCCTCGCATATTGTTATATGCGAATGAGGTTATGAAAAACAAATAGGTATGTGCCATTTTCTGAAAAAATGACTGGGCAAACTGTACATATAACGAATTTCTTTATATTCTGAAACGTTTCTCGTACTGAAGATCTTTCGTTTCTAACCGTCTCAGTTCGACATTGTGTTACGCATGATATTCATCTACTGAAGGATGATGATTAGTGATACCCTTTTGTCTGTTAATCAACTTACAGCTACAATTTCCTTATAAATTTCGTTTAAACGTAACATGACATTATGCCTGGGGTCTGTTAATTTATAACTTAATTTTTCAACCCACCTCTAGAGATTTTTTAACCATATCAAAACGAATGTTAATTTTCGTTTTGCCTTCAAATTTCATTCTTATTAAATTTCAGGTATTTTTGGCCCCTTTTACGTTTTCGAACACATTCTGGTCGTATTAGTTTAAAACCAAAGCATCTTGCAAGCTTGAAATATGATTTTAAAGCATCGATCTAGGACTAAATACATCAACCTACTCTCTGCTTTTAACACGCATTTACAGACCCTGTTACATTCAATCCCACTGGGAAGATACACAGTACTCGAACACATGCAGGATAGTTGTGTGAGAGAACTAATGGAAATGAATCGGTAGTTGATAATGAGAGGACATTCGCCTTCGGGATTTGCATCGTTACATGTGGATCATAAACCTCGGGCTGTTAGTAAACTGAAACTATCGACGCGAAACGAAGAGATAATTAAACAGCCCGACTGTGTTTTAGGATTATGTGTCTTACTCTTGTTTTGTGTTCCTAAATGGTATTGCTACTTCCTGGACTTCCGCGAGTACGTATACATTTTCGTGATCAATTATTTCATTCGAGAACGAACTGCGGATTGGGGAAGTCAAAGCAGAGACGAGCAATTTTACTGCGTAAATATGTTTCGATCTCCTTTGTAAAGCTCAACCCGAGCATAATCTAAAAAGATTTATGTTGAGTAATAAAAACAGTTGCATACATTTTTCAAAATCTTGTATTTTAAGGAATGTCAAGTGTAGTATGTTGTGTCAGAAGCAAGAGTTTCAACTGTCTTTCGCGATGTTAATTTATTTCTTCAACTAGAACTCGCATATATATGAGACTACCTGACGGATAAAAGGTAGTATCATCTCAAACCTTTCTTGCAATGCCGCAAACATCATTTTCTTAAATGTGCTTCTTTCGCAAATTATGGACCCTTTTGGGGCACGATGAACACTTCATGATTTTATCATTTAGTCTAGTGCACCGGAACAAATGTTAAGGCTAATTTCGTGTGACAAATTGAATCAGCAGAGCCGAACCACATTGGACCCTGGCTGTAAGTATCAAATTTTGAGAAGCGCCACGTGTACACAACGAAACTATACGCGAACATGTCTGCGACATTTCACTTCACTGTTCAGGAGTCGCTGAGCCTCATTGCAAACACTTAGGCAAACATTCTTCTTCCTTATTCGGGCCTTAGTGTTAAATACCCTCACTTTCAAAAGGGGGAAGAAATGTTGAGGGGTTTAAAGAATTTAAAACAGAGAGTTGTGTCTATCCGGGTTGGTGCAACTGTTAAGGCGAGAGGATCATAGCGTCCCGATTGTAAAGGTTACGAGTTCAGCTAAACATGGTCATGAGTGTTGGTGTGTATATGTATGAATGTTTATCTGCGTACTCTGGGACGCATGATCCATCTACAAACATAAATTGTTAAATCAATTCCCTTCCTCTCGAAATTCAACTGCCTAAAGCATGATATATGATTCTGGGGCATGCGTAAGCCGTTCATGTTGCTCGTAACGAGCCAAATCAAGAAAAGTACAAAAATATATGTAATACCGTCGTAAAAATAAATTTTATTCCCAAAATTTATTTCATTAAAGCGAACATTTTAAATTGCAAAAGTGGATTCTATTACTACCAAAGCGGACTTCTACCAACAGATCTGCAGAACCAGTTCCGGAATACTGAACCAGGTGATTCTGGAGAATTTTCACGTTATGCTTGACTCAAACAGAGTTCAATCAACTGCTTGAGTAAAAATTGAGAAGACACTTAGGTGTTCACCGCTTAATACTCTACTTAACCTCTACGGTAATTATACGGGTCAACCGACTCGGCAAGACTTCATGGGTTGCTAATAATAATAATAATAATAATAGTAATAATAATAATTAATAATAATAATAATAATAATAATAATAAATCAATAACTAAAATTAAATTTTAAATTCAGCATAAATGAACAAATTATTTGTGGAAACATTAATTCGACTCCACTTCACCCCGAACACTTCACCCCCTTTATCTCCCCTCCCGAACGCACACACTCACAGAATAGAAAAATCCCGTTTGCGCCCCTGCACAAATCCACCGCAATTAGTTCAAGCGTTTGTTGCACCAATGATCTGCCTCCGCAGGGAGCGGAGGTGCTGTTGAGCGGTTGTCGGGGCAGGCGGCGCGGGGGCTCGGACAATACGTGCAGCGACGCCGCCGCCGCCGCCGCCGCCGCGCCGTCGTTGTCCCACGAGGCCCGATTTATCATCCGCCGCGCGCGCGCCCGCTCCTCCGCTTCGCGCCGCGTTTCGCTGCGCTGTTGTTCGCCGCCGCCGCCGCGCGTGTCTCTAAATCCCGCGTCATTTCCGTTGCGATACCCCGAAAATTAGCTGATATTTACCCAGAGGAAGGGGAGACAAACTCCTCGCCTACGAGGAGAGAGGGGGAGAGAAAATCAGATGGTGCGTGGAGACCGGGGAGGGGCGTTGCACGGGCTGTGACTGCAAGTCTCCCGAGTGGAGTTGCTGAGGAGCGCGGGGGGCATGGTGTGGAGTGGGACAAGAACCCGAAGACCGGGAGGGGTGGGGGTCGTGGATTAATCTTTCCGCGACGTTTCGTTTTCCCTCGAGGCGGGCGGAGAGAGGAGGAAGAGGAGGGGGGTCGCCTGAATAACTTATCGCATTAGCGCGTTTTTATGGGGATCATAATAGCAAATAAATCTCGTGATTCAGAGCTCCTCCTCGTCTCTGATGAGGGCGCGGCGCGCGCGGCGCTTTTGTCGCCAACACAATGGCGGCGGTCGCACGACAATGGCGGCGCCCGTGATAGATGGTGCGAGGGCGCTGCCGCCAATATTTGCTTGTGATGGGCGCACCCCGCTTCCTCTCGCCGCCCCCGCCCGTCGGCGCCTCGCGGCGTGCGCGACGCCGCCACCGTACTCTGTCGTCTTCGCCCGGAGGTCAGATCCCCGAGACAAAACCGGCGGGTCCTCCCGCTCGTAAAATAGTGTCTCCGTCTTTGATTTAGGGGCCTTGTGTTCCCGAAGAAAAGATGGATCGATTTAATTCACTGGGCCAATACACTTATTGGCAGGCCGTGGTGCCGTTCGATTGTTCCCCGATACAAAAGGAAAGCTAAATAAATTTCTGCCCCCATAATTCACTCTTTGTCGGCACGTGTCACTTCGATACGCCGTTGACCCAGGTCGGGAAGAGAGTGGTGACAACAATGCTGGTCATTTACGTCATGTTCGTTTGGCTTTATTCACTGCGCGGTGCGTACATGTACGAATTGCTTTTCATTTAATCATCTTCTCCGCAGAGCAAATCAGATTGCGTTCATTTCACCGGTGTTCTGACTAAATGAAGACACACCCCTGTTTTCACACGCCGCCGATGTACTTTTGCTTGCGTCTGAACTGCCACTCGCCTTGAAATACGTGTGTTCGTACGAACGACTTCGTTTCTTTAATAAAATTACTGCAGAGATAATTATTATTTCAAAAAATAGTACGAGTATTATTTCAAAAAATATTAATAGAGATGTGTGAAGTGACGTTGGCGCTCTCTCCGCTCCGAAAGTGAACCGTGTGGCGTTGTTGTTTCGCAGCCGCTAGACCGCGACCAGCCTAACGGCCGCCCCCAATGGCGGTTCACCGTGTTCGCCCAAGACGAGGGCGGCGAGGGCCTGGTGGGCTACGCCGACGTGCAGGTCAACCTCAAGGACATCAACGACAACGCTCCCATCTTCCCGCAGGGCGTGTACTTCGGCAACGTCACCGAGAACGGCACCGCAGGTACGTGCTGAGCAGCGGAAACCCTGTCGCAAATTCCCTTCAGGGCGACTTAAGGGAAACTATTTAAGGGGGGAAATACAGTAAACAGTTTTATTTAGATTGCTTATTTCAGTTTTTGAATTTTTCAATGGACAAACAAACCATCTAATCAAAGCCTTTATAAATTTTTGTTAACTAGTGCTACTTTTTCTACTCAAAATTGTTGGAATTCAGGTATAACTAATCATTTTAAGCATAGTTTTAAATGTTTAAAATATTTTTTTCAATTTTTAAGAAATGGTCTTAGGCCACCCTTCTCCTTATTTTACAAAAATTGATTCTAGTTAGAAGAGAATGTTGATGTTCTTTCCAAAAGCGCACATCCAAAAATATCTTTTTCATTTTCCTCACACTTAACTACTTAACCATATGTTTCCACTATTCCAAATTCTGAACATCAATTATTTTACGTTATGAATTCAAACTTTAATTTGTATATGATTATAATTTAACTAAGAATAGATCACTCAACTTGATGCTAGAATCTTTAAATTTTAAACTTCAAAATAACAGTCCTTTCATAACTTTTTTCATTTTTTATCATTGAAGCTTAATAGGAATTTACTTTTAGTTCTTAAATTTCCCATTGGCCTGTACCTACTCAAAGATGTTTTTCCACAATTCTTTGTTGTTCTTTAGGAACGATGGAAAGTTAGGAAAGTTAGTTTACAATTAAATTTTGAAGAGCTTTACCATGAGAATTCAAAAAATTCATTCGTTAACCCTGATTCATTTTAAGAACTTACTGGTTCTGTCTCCTACAAGGAAGCTCCAAAACAAGAACTTGTAATTTATATTACATATAATTGCATGCTAATTGAAAATACTTTTTTATATAGGAATGGTTGTGATGACCATGACAGCAGTGGATTATGATGACCCAAGTGAAGGAAGCAATGCACGACTTATCTACTCAATTGAGAAAAATGTTATTGAAGAAGAGACTGGCTCACCTATTTTTGAAATTGAATCCGAAACAGGAGTCATTAAAACAGCAGTATGCTGCCTTGACCGTGAACGCACACCAGACTACTCTATACAAGTGGTAGCAATGGATGGAGGGGGGTTAAAAGGTATGTATTACCCTTTATGGCATTACATCAATATATGTTTTCATGAAAAAGAAGTGAATATAACTACAAAGTAATGGGGATTAACTTTTTTTGCAAGTTATTGGTGAATAATGAATTTGAAATTACAGGATTCAGACGATCCAAATTGAGTAATTTGGGTCATAAGATTTCATATCTCTCTTAGCTTTGAATTGCTACTTTTACTATAAGAAACTTTTAATGTTCTCTAGGAACTGGAACGGCATCGATACGTGTTAAAGATATTAATGACATGCCGCCACAGTTTACCAAGGATGAATGGTTCACTGAAGTGGATGAAACTGATGGCTCAAATCTCCCAGAGACCCCAATCCTAACTGTCACAGTCCATGATGAGGATGAGACCAATAAATTCCAATACAAGGTAAGTGCAGAATTTCAACTTAAAGACTTTCTCTTCTATGTGATGGTTTCAATATCATATTTATATCGCTCTGTTTTTAAAGGTAATAGAAAACAGTGGTTATGGTGCTGATAAATTTACTATGGTTAGAAATAATGATGGTACAGGATCTCTAAAAATTGTTCAACCACTGGATTATGAAGATCAGCTTCAGAGTAATGGATTTAGATTTCGTATTCAAGTCAATGATAAGGTAAGTTATACATTTGTAATTAACTGTCCTGATAATTGCACAAGAAAGTTTTGGACACTTTGCTACTAAATGTATTGTGTTGTAGGGTGAAGATAACGACAACGACAAATACCATGTTGCCTATTCTTGGGTAGTTGTGAAACTACGCGATATTAATGATAATAAACCCCAGTTTGAAAGGCCTAACATTGAAGTGTCAGTTTATGAGAATGCTGAAGTAGGAAAATCACTGGAAACATTTAAAGCTACTGATCCTGACCAAGGAGGAAAGAGCAAAGTGAAGTATGCTATTGACAGAACAAGTGATCGTAAGAGACAATTTTCAATAAACCAAGAAGGAACTGTGTCCATTCAACGAAATTTAGACCGTGAAGAGACGCCTAGACATCAGGTAATTTATAATTGCACTCATCTCTTTTGAAAAAGTAGTTACTCACAAATCAGTAAATCATTTAATTTTATTTCTATTTTTAGGTGAAAGTTCTTGCAATAGATGATGGAGTTCCACCAAAAACAGCAACTGCCACTTTGACAGTAATAGTTCAAGACATTAATGACAATGCTCCTACTTTCCTAAAAGAATATAGACCTGTGCTTCCAGAACATGTTGCTCCACGTAAAGTTGTTGAAATCTTAGCAACAGATGATGATGATAGGTCTAAGAGTAATGGCCCTCCATTCACTTTCCGCATGGATCCTAATGCTGATGATATAATAAGAGCATCATTTAAAGTTGAACATGATCAGAGTGAGTATCCTGAATAAAATCTTGTTTAAAAACATTTTGGGAAGGCTTGAGTTAAAAATCATGATTCACTTTTCTAATTTCAGAGGGAGCTAATGGTGATGGTATGGCTGTAGTTACATCATTAAGGACCTTCGATCGTGAGCAACAGAAAGAATACCTCATCCCCATTGTAATCAAAGACTCAGGTAACCCTGCTATGTCTGGCACTAGCACCCTTACTGTTGTCATTGGTGATGTAAATGATAACAAAATGCAACCAGGATCAAAAGACATATTCGTTTACAATTACATGGTAAGAAATGTTACTGTCCTGTGATTTATGATAAAATAAGCTCATTTGTTTTTACACACAAATTTTTTTTTTAATATTATTCTATTACAGGGTCAGGCTCCTGATACAGAAATAGGACGAGTATATGTCTATGATTTAGATGATTGGGATCTTCCAGATAAGAAATTTTATTGGGAACAAACAGAACACACACATTTCAAACTCAATGAAGATTCTGGAATGATAACTATGAAACATGGTACACCGGATGGGAGGTAAGTCAATTGTTTTTTTAACCGTTCAATGCAGAATGACATCGTAAGACATGTTCCTTTCAGGATCTTTATACCTGAATGTCATTAAATTTTCCCTTAGCTATTGTAATTCTGACACTGAGCTAGCTATCTGCTATCCACAGATGATGCAGGCAATGCCATTTCCGCTGTCACCTGCATTGGAATACTACCGCACCAAACCTAGTCCTCTACAGGTTGAAAAGGGTTACGGCTGAGGACTGAGAAAAGCAAAAGATAATCTTATGATGTTTTGTTTAATGTTTGTGTGTACCATTAAAATCTGTGCAAGGATAAGCCCCTAATTGTTAATTAATGTATTGGTAATTACATAATTTAAAAATCTTCATTTTTCTTTTCAGATATAACTTAAAGTTCAAAGTCTATGACAGGAAACATACACAAACGGATGTACCAGCTAATGTCACAGTAACAGTCAGAGAAATTCCTCATGAAGCTGTGATAAACTCTGGCTCTGTGAGAATTGCTGGGATTACAGATGAAGACTTCATTAGAGTGTGGAATTACAAGGTATAAAGCTCTGCTTATAGGATTTTATCATATTCTTCACTTGATTTCTTATTTTCAGTTAATTAACAGTTCACTGTTTCATAATATCTTCTTTCTTTTCTCACAGACTCAGAATGTACAAAAAAGCAAAGCAGAACGTTTCCGAGACAAACTTGCTGACTTACTAAATACTGATCGAGAGAATATAGATGTGTTCAGTGTGCAATTACGACGCAAACATCCGCCTGTGACTGATGTGCGTTTCTCTGCTCATGGTTCGCCTTACCATAAACCTGTACGTCTCAATGGAGTTGTTCTTATGCATCGTGAAGATGTAAGTATTGCATTTCTTGTTTATGTTATTCAGATTTTTTTATATTATATCTAGATTTTCTTTCAACCTCCTATGAAAATAAACTTTGATATCAATTGAATATAACAAATGCAATATATTGAATATATTTCATTTAAATGGTTTGTATAATCAATAGGTATTCTATACAAATATTTTGTTTTAGATTGAAAAAGATGTTGGCATTAATATTACTATGGTGGGCATAGATGAATGTTTATATGAAAATCAGATGTGTGAAGGCAGTTGTACAAATACATTAGATATAAGTAATTTGCCTTACATGGTTAATGCCAACAAAACATCCCTTGTTGGAGTGCGAGTAGATGTTATTCCTGAATGCACATGTGGAGCACGAAATTTCAGCAAAAGTGAATCCTGTCGGTCTAGTCCTTGCCATAATGGTGGGCGTTGTGTAGAAGGTCGTTATGGACTCAGGTAAGAAATAAATTTGTAATTTTTTTGGTTCCCTTCCCTCTTCAAGTTCAAGGGATCTTCACTAATTTATGCAATGTGCTTTTGCAGTTGTTCATGTCCTAGTGGTTACAATGGTCCTCGATGTCAGCAAATATCTCGAAGTTTCCGTGGAAATGGTTTCGCTTGGTATTCTCCTCTAGACATGTGTGATAATTCCCATCTCAGTTTAGAATTTATCACACGAAAAGCCGATGGTATGCTTCTGTACAATGGTCCTATTGTGCCTCCAGAGACAGATGAAACTCTTGTTTCAGGTGAATGCTTCATTTCATTTTTGTGAAAAAAATAATTTATCAAAACAGCATGATGATCATTGTGCAATTTATTTGGATTTCAGACTTCATTTCATTGGAGTTGGAGAAAGGTATGCCTAGGTTACTGATTGATTTTGGCTCGGGAACTCTGGAACTAAGAGTTAAAACAAAGAAAACTTTGGATGATGGAGAATGGCATCGATTAGATGTGTTTTGGGATACAGAAGTAAGTAAATTCTGAAATAATCATGTTAATGAGTAAATGTGATCTACCGGTGTAGTGCAGACATTTACAATCTGTACGTGAAGCAAATGATTCTGGTATCAAATCTCATGAAAGTCATGAAAGCTTTCACCTTGCAATTCTGGCATGGAATGACAAATTACAATGTAACCCATATTATAATCCGTGAATAAATTAATGAATGTAAACAGGGCTTCATAGACTTGTTTAACCACTGTGATGTTTCTTTTAACAGAATGTGAAGCTGGTAGTAGACTTTTGTAAATCGGCTGATATATCTGAACTTGAGGATGGATCTCCACCTGAGTTTGATGATGAAAGTTGTCAGTCAAGTGGTACTGTCCCACCATTCAATGAATATCTCAATGTCAATGCACCTCTGCAACTTGGAGGCTTGTATGTGGAACCATTTGACCAAACCCATTTCCACTGGCATACAATGCCTAATGGCAAGGGATTTGATGGGTGCATCAAAAATGTGTTCCATAATAGCAAGGTATATATTTTTAAGTACTCTACATGAAAGTTAACTAAAATGTGAAAGTCAAACAATTAATTGAAAGTTTAAAAAACTTAAAAAATTGTTTTGTACAGCTTTATGATCTTGCATCACCTGGACTGTGGAGAAACAGTGTGGCTGGTTGCCCACAAACAGAAGAAGTTTGCAATACACAAGAGTCCACGCTGCGTTGCTGGGAGCACGGCCAGTGTGTGGGTAGTTTCTCAGAAGCACGATGCCAATGTAAGCCTGGATGGACTGGACCCTCTTGCCTCAGTCCAACCACGCCTACAACTTTTAAACCACAGAGTTATGTTAAATATGCCCTGTCTTTTGAACCTGATCGTTTCTCAACTCAAATGCAACTGCGCTTTAGAACACGAGAAGAGCATGGAGAGTTATTTAGAGTGTCAGATCAGCACAATCGGGAATACGGTATCCTTGAGGTATGAAAATAATTTTTCTCTGGGCCTATTACTGTATGTTATGTAGTTATTCATTCTGTTAGTTAAAAATGTAACTTTGTAATTTTGCAGATTAAGGACAGCCGTTTGCACTTCCGGTATAACTTAAATAGCTTGCGCACAGAAGAAAAGGACCTCTGGCTTAGTGCAGTTACAGTTGATGATGGTCAATGGCACACAGCAAAGGTTTGTTCAATATTAATTTTTATCAACTTTTTTATTTAAAAAAGTCTCAGGATAATAAAAAAGTAATATTTGTTCCTTTAGGTATCAAGATATGGTTCTGCTGCAATTCTAGAATTAGATGGTGGTGAAGGCAGACGATACAATGAGACTTTCAACTTTGAAGGACATCAATGGCTTTTAGTTGACAAACAGGAAGGTGTTTATGCTGGAGGTAAAGCTGAATATACTGGTGTACGTACCTTTGAAGTATATGCTGACTATCAAAAGGGTGAGTAAAGATTATGTAGCAAAGAATCCAACCATCAAAAAAATTGAATGCATTGTAATTATAAATTGTACCTCTTTTTAAAGGCTGTTTGGATGATATTAGACTTGAAGGCAAGCATTTACCATTACCTCCTGCAATGAATGGAACCCAATGGGGTCAAGCTACTATGGCACGGAATCTGGAGCGAAATTGTCCTTCAAATAATCCATGTGCCAATGTTATTTGCCCTGATCCATTTGAATGCGTGGATCTTTGGAATGAATATGAGTGCACGTGAGTATTAACATTCAATTCTTTTCATTCTATATTAATTTTGTGAATTGAGATGGTTATATTTGTTATTACTTGTTGACGATCTTTATTCCTATGGAAGGTGATCATAATTCTTAATTAAATTTTTATTATTGTTATCATTCACTACATTAAAAAATGTTTCAATGACATAAGAATTAATATACTATAGTATTTTTCAAAATATTTTTTTAAAATTATTATTATTATTATTGAAATAATGGTAGTGTGCCCCCGGTAGATCTCAGAGAACTAAGACTATTAATATGCTTATTGCAATAATGCTCTTTCGGGTACTGCCACAAACCATTATTACTACAGATAATGTGTAGGAAATGAATAAATATTAATAATTCTTCTTGCTTTCCACTTTTAAAAATGATTTGAATTTCAGAGTGACAGAATGTTTTAAGTAATTCTTGATCGTAGTAAGCTACATATTTTGCTATAATCTATAAATGGTGTCAAGATGTTAATTTCACTTTAATTGCAGTGCCAAAATAATAAAATGGTACTATTAAAAGAACATTCTTCAACTCCTTTTATGGAACTCTTAATTATTTTTGATTACTTGAAAATTGAAGTAATGTGTTTATTTTATCTGAATAATGGTTGACCTATTTTTTTATTGTTTTCTATATGCTTTTATTTTTCATTTGCTTCATTGCTCCAGCAGATGCAGAGGGCAGAAATTAAATTTTATTTAAGAGATTGAGCTTTTGAATATTTTTGTGTGTATTATTATTGAGTGTTTAACTTTCTTAGCTTTTGGCCTTAAGCTTTTTTCACTATTCTGTAGACACTAATCGTACATTCATATTTTGGGAGTTATATTAAGAGACTTGGAACATCTCTAATTTTTTTAACATAAGTAGTTGTTGTTAATAGTGAATTCAGATTATTTCATGATTTATTACTTCATAAAGTACTGCAATTCTCAGTTGAAACAATTCTTACTTAGTTTTGAGCTATAAAACAACACAGTAATTCTTCAAAGGAGCAAATTGTGATAACCCACACTTGACTAAAACAATAAAACGGAAAAGTCACAAGTTCTTGGACAAAGGACCTTCTACCAACTAATGTTCGTGGTTTCTTGTGCTAAGGTGCTTGGTGGCAAAGCTTGTGCATCAGCCAGTATTTGCTCATCACATGATTATGTCATAGGTTTACTCGTTTTTTGAGTATTTGTAAAGATTTTTAGTGTATTTCTTCATTTCTATATTCAATAGTCTCAAATAAGAAAATAATATTTAAAAAAAAATAAGTTCCAAAACCATAGCACCCATTACTCTCCCTTGGATTCATCCCTGGATGTTGAAACTGAATATTTTGAACTTATAGGAACTTGAAATAATTTAATTAACTTAATTAACATTATCTTAATTAACCCTTAAACTCTTCAATTCTTTCAAATATATTAATTTTTCTCAACTTTTTTATTTATCAAAATTGTAGTGTACTTATGAACTCACTGTCACTAAACAGAATTAACTTTTCCTTGCTTGATTTTTAGTTATCAGCTTTATTTCACAAGTTTTGAAATTAATTTTTATAATTTACTGTTTTTGTTTGATTTGTTTTGCTATGTTTTTCCACCTTGGGATGAGGAAAGCCTTGAATTTCACTATAGTTCAGTTCTGAAAGTTTCTTTATTGTTTAAGAACTACAGCTTCTTGCTGAATTACTTCCAAAATGATGGTAAAAATGGCAAATTACTTTGGGGTCTTATATGTATATACAGTCTTAATTAATAATATAATGATGGCCGGAAAGTGTCATTTGAATGGATTACTGTAGGAATTTAAGTGTTTATAGAATATTTCTAAGTAAAATCGAATACAGTACTGTAATTTTAAGGATTTTTTAAAATTTAAGTTATCTTTGCTACTTTGAAATGAAAATCAATTCCACCACAAAAACAAGAATTTCTGTTTTATTTTCGGGATATTTCATTTCTCTTTGCCTAATTTATAGTCTTTATTAATTTTTATTATTTCACTTCTACTTTTTTGTGCTAACTTTTTTTTGTTTATTTTTTATACCAAATAATACAGTTAATCTATGCTGTTTTTAAAATGAATGTTTATGTGGTGATAAGCTCTCCCAAGTTCTGAACTGAAAATATGATTTGCATTTGAGAAAAGATAGAAAAAAACGGTATAATTTGCATGTACATACAGTTGTGGTGAGGGACGCATTCTGACACCTGACCAGAAGAGCTGCATGGACAAGAATGAGTGCCTGGAACGACCTTGTCTAAATGGTGGCACTTGCATCAACCAAGACCCCAAATTGCGTTATCGCTGTGTCTGCCAGGAAGGTTTCTGGGGAGAGAACTGTGAGCTTGTCCAAGAGGGGCAAACATTGAAGCTGAGCATGGGTGCACTTGCAGCCATCCTCGTTTGTCTGCTTATCATCCTCAGTAAGGAGATGGGCATTTTCTCTTGTATATTCATACATGTCTTCTTGTGCATGGTCAGTTGCATGAACAATTTTGGTGCATTAACCCACCTATGCTTTATGTATGTTGCTTTTCACTTTCAGTGTAGCAGGATGTACATTTATTTTTATTTTTAATCGTATTTTCATAGCAAGGTCAGATTCCAATGGATGGCTCACCTGTGGTATGTATGAAATGTTATCAAAGCATTTATTAAATTCAGTTTAATTTTTTTTGTGGCACGTAGCTGTCCTGAAGGTTTCCGGATCCGAGGTGTGACATGTGTTAATGAAGATGAGTGCAAATGGAGGCCTTGCCAAAATGGTGGTCGTTGTGAAGATTATGAAGATGAACGTCGTTATGTGTGTCATTGTCCTGCTCGATATACTGGATTGAATTGTGAACTTGTTCTACTGGAGTCAGGCATCATTCAACCTTCGCGTGATTTTATCATTGCCATCATTGTTTGTCTGATTCTGTTACTCAGTAAGTCCATGTCCTTCCCTGTGATATTTCTGTTTGGATTCTTCCTTCTAAGTTGACAAACCATACAATTTCAATTCCAAAAAATGTCATTGGATTGCAGTAAATTGAATTAATTGATAGGAATTTGTCTTTTAATAACAAATAACCTTTGCCTTATTGGTGAAATTCATAACATTCAGTATTCTGATAATGATTTTTATGCCTTATGGGATTCATTAAGGATTCAAACTGTATATATTAACATTAGTGTTCATAAAGAAATGCAGTTTGCATTGTAAAACATTGGGTATTGATTGGTTTGCTTATTCGTGGATCATTCATTCATCAAATTAAAAATTAGTACAACATTTTTTTTTTATTAGAAAAATAAATTTGTAATGATTTCACGTTAAAGAATCTCTAATAAAATTTGATACAAATGGGAGAAAAGAGAAATTAGTGTACATCATGGAAAGAAAAAATTAACTATCTCTGTAAATTTTTGTTAGAACACTAACATTTTCTTAATGTCTTTTCTTTTGTGAAAAATTCCAATGGCATACAATATTCTTTCCTCATTATTTGTGCTTTTCTTTAGTTCAATTCCTTTTTAATCTGCAGCTTTTTAACAATAATTTCCTAATCTTGTGTGTTTTCATTTTCTATATTAAATTGGGAAAATGGTATAAAGTATATTAATGATACTCATAAATGCAATCTGTGTAGCTTTCACATATTCTTGCTACTATGGCATTCTTTACCAAAATTTTGAAGTGGTAAGTTAATATTTGCATGACTGTAGAAGTAGTACAGTAGAGAAAATATGTAGTCTGAATTAGTATATTAAATCAATTTTTTTCTTTATACTCTAATTCTCAGATCAATGGTGTTTGTTATTTCTTGTACGGTAAAATACCCTCCTATTTCTAATACTTTTTGTGCTCTTTCCTTTGACTACATTTTTTATCAAATAACTTGCATGTGCAAGTAACTTGCAAGTTACATTTTTATGATGTAACCACAAATTTCTAACATGCACTAACTAAACTGCTTTAATTTGTAGATTCTTTGGTGTTAATATTGTAGCTCAGACTTTCTTAAATCAATCAAAAATGAAAGTCAGATATTACACTATCGACTAGTTTAAAGCATTTGAGAAAAGTCTTCAATACTGTCAATTTTTATAACAATTGTTTCAAATGATTGTCCCTAAAAATATATTATTATAACGAAGCAATAAATATTTTTGCCTTGGAATTAAGGACAATCAAAATTTGTTAATGTTAATGTTGCTTATTCCATAAATTCCAATTTAAAATTATGAGTACTACAGTACTATTACACTCTTTCACTTTCATCCCATTATCTCCCTAGTTTTTAAAATTTTGGTGTTATGAAAACTAGAGATAATGTTAATTTATATTCAATGAGTACAAACGAGTCAAGTTTAAGGAAAATCACGTTGTAGCTATGTTCAATGTAGCATGGATGGCCATAATATGGGTGGTGCATCTGAAGGTTTTGAGCCAGAATGACAGGAATGAAGGGGGTGTAGTATAGGAGTAGGAGAGAAGTTCGAGGAAGTGAATGATGGCAATTTTATTGTCTTATAAATAATCATTGTTATTTCCCTTTCAAAATTATATTGTCATTCCTGTTCGTGACAATATTGGATATAATTTTGCAGTTAATTGAATTATTTTTATTTTATTTGTGAAGTCTCTGAAATCAAGCATAAACATTTTCTGTATTCTGTATCGATAATTGAAGGGTTTGGGAAATGCATTTTATGAAAAAGTTCTAATCTATGAAATGACTCTATCTAACCTATGAAATTTAGTTTATCAGAAGGTTTTTTCAACTATTTATATCTTCCTATATTCTTAACTTTAATTTTGTTTTGGTTAATTTCACATTTTGTCACAAACAACGGAAATTGAAGTTAAGAATAAAGGAAGATATAAATAATTCAAAAGAACTCCCCCACAAGCAAAACTCAGTGTCACTTCATAGATTCCATGCATGACTTCAGAGGCTTCAAATATTAAGTTAAATAATACAATTACCAGCAAATTTAAATTCACTATTTTTACAATTAAGTCTGAAAATGTAATTTCCTAATTGAAATAACAATCATTATTTGTAAAAGATGGCAATACCATCATTCACTGTTCAGAACTTCCCTCTTACTCCTATAATATACCTCCTCCATTCTTGTCATTCAGCCACAATCATACACATTACACATTTTGGGGACATCTGTGTTACATAACAGAGACTTACAAGGTGAGTTTCCTTAAACGTGTATTTCGTTCTCATTCAACTTTAATTAAAGTTACTTCTACTTTTCCAAACTTCAAAAAGAAAAAAAATTGCAGATAACTCGATGAAGAATGCAACAGGGTGTTTGAAATGTGATTGTAATTTTAAAATAGAATTTATGGAATAAACAACATTAACATATGAATTTTGATTGATTCCCAGGATGAATGTTTATTTACTTATTTATTTATAATACAAAACTTTCTTTATTCCCTGTTGTATTGCATGTTAAACCATTAGCAGGTGACATTCAAAATTACTTTTTTCTTCTTAGTTGTATTTACATTTGTAGAGAATATTTTGATTTACAATGATATGGAACTAAATTCTTAAAAATTTATAAAAATAACTGAATTTCTTTAAATATATAAACTTAATTGGGAAGATATTCAATAATATTTTCTTTTTTAGTTCTGGTCCTGGTGTTTGTTGTCTACAATCGAAGGAGAGAAGCACACATTAAATATCCTGGTCCAGATGATGATGTGCGCGAAAACATCATTAATTATGATGATGAAGGAGGTGGTGAAGATGATATGACTGCTTTTGACATTACGCCTCTGCAAATTCCAGTTGGAGGTCCACTACCGGACATGCCTGCCAAATTACCCTGTAAGTATACCATTTAGAAAGCATAAATTTCTGAAATTTCATCACAATATGCATATTGACATAGTACTTACAAATGTATTACATCTTTTCCAGTCCCACCACTCGGCCCAGAACCTAATGTAGGTGTTTTCATTGAAGAACACAAGAAACGTGCTGATGCTGATCCGAATGCTCCACCATTTGATGATTTACGCAATTATGCCTATGAAGGAGGTGGCAGCACAGCTGGCTCTTTGTCTTCTCTTGCCTCTGGTTTGTACATTAATTATTAGTGTTATTGTTCATGCAAATTGAAATACAAAAACCATGTACTCAATGTAAACGTCCTTATGCAGGCACAGATGACAATGAGCAAGATTTTGATTATCTGGGAGCGTGGGGGCCTCGGTTTGACAAGCTGGCGGATATGTACGGCCAAGAGGGAGAAGAGAGTGAGGAGGAGGAGGAGCAGTGAGCGGTTGCGTTCTGTAGCACACCTTATTCTCACTTGTTGGCCAATTATACTCCATCATAGCCCATGGACATAGTGGCTTGAAGAACCATCACTGACAAACCCTTACTTACCATAAGGCCAGTGTCCCTCGTCAGCATATGATGTCACCTCTACAAGAATTATCTCCCTCTATCTTTCTTCACACTGTCATCCATCATGTTCAAGTATAGGTTATCAAACCATGAAAATTGCCTTCACACTGAACTGCAGGACATATGCTGGACTATTTTTCATGTTGATAGTTTTAAAATAGAATTATTATAATATATGTTGAAGGTTGACAAACCTAATCAACGACCAAACAAGAAGGCATAATGCAGAGTAGTGAATATCAGTTTTTTATTCTTTAACTATACAAACAAATTTTCCAGAAGAATTACCACTTGTTGCAGCTAAGAACAAGGTCTTTTTCTAGGTAGGACACCTATACATTCTCTGGGCCTTAAAACTGGGGTTTAAAACTTAAGGAAGAAACTTTCAAAAAGACTGTACTTGTTCTTGGCCAGATTCCTGGCCAAGTCATATGTCACATGTAACTGTGTTCTTGAGCGTGGGATGAGCACCTACCACCGTCTCCACCCCCACCCGACCATCTGGCATCTGTCAGCCAATGACCTCTGTACATAGTTGGCATAGCATAAGCATTAAACTATTCAAATACTCATGAGCAAAAATCATCACATACCGTAGATTTGTAATGTACATAGATTGTCCATATTGTGTTATAATATTTTTAAGCATTTTTTGCACATACGTGAAGTCATTATTAAACAGCCAGTCACTTGTTTCACAAAGTCATTTTTCCATTCCACGGGGCCCTCCGTGCTCATCTTTCCTCCAAGGGCGCAGGTTTCATTATTGTGGTTTATTTTATTTTTAAATGTTATTTGTTTGATCGTGCTTGTGTATCATTCACACTTGTTCCTGGTTGCTTGTTGTGTGTCTGAGTGCCTGAGTGGGTATGTCATTGTCATGCCAAGTCAGTCCATGAGAAAAGAAGTGAATGACTGCATGTTTTTGAATTTGTATGAAAGCAGTTTTACGAATGTGTGCATACTGTGTGTGCCAGTTGTATACAGAATTAAATAATGTAAGAGAAACATTAGCCTATGTATAATGTTTTTTTCCTGCCTTATTTAACATGGACTAGTGCCAAGTGAAAGATGTAGATTATAATCACAGTAAAACAACAAAAAGTTAAATTAATGTGTCGCACTCATGTATCAATTTGTAGTTTTAGTAGATAATTTTAAGAAATATACAGTACATACATACTTTGCTCTACATTTGTCACATTTTCAAACTCTAGCTGTATAATTACCATTATGTTTAAGTTAGAAACCGTGGCAATTGTGTCAGGACAAACTGTGTATTTTATTTTCTCACTGTACTGTACTGAGAGATGAGTGATTTGTTTTTGTGTATTAGGTTGGTATGCATGTCATTCAGCAGGCTGTTACTGTGTACACGGCCTCATGTTAGTGTAAGATGTGTTTTTATGTTGTAACTAATCAAGACTTTTAGTAAATGGCCATCTTAGAATTTAAGTATTATAATATATATTATATATAAAATATTAATTATTTTGGCAGCAGTTTGATGCCTCTACCAAATAAGAAATGATGTACTGCAAACGAGAATTTGCACTTCAGTATTATGTTTTACAATTTCTATGATGTTTACTAAATGCAAGTGTATGGAGAAGCTAATTGGATTGAACTGAGGAGTTTCAGACATTCCAAAGAGAACTAGATTCTGGTAAACATACATGGCACCTCGAAGCTGTAGTAAAAATTGTTCTCTTTTTCATATTTTAGTTCTCTGTGTGGTCAAATTAAACATTTTGGAATTGCCAACAAATAAGAAGAAAAGAAGGAAACTTGGACTGATGTAACTGCTCAAAAAATCCAGTGTAAATTGACATTTTGTCCTTGGATCCGTGTGTTTGTTTATAACTATTTTATTATTTGTATGAGAGTAGGTAGTTAAAGTTGCGGCAGATACTGTGAGAACACCCTCCTTATCTCAGCAATATAGGGCTTCTGTTTAGCTTGTTTGATGCAGGAAACATATTCAGTCATCTTAGCATTAAGTCCTGCACTACCAAGCATCAACACACCAGGCTGTGACAGACTACCCTCTTTCCATGATTTGTTTGTTACTGCACAAAAACTGATCAGTGCCAAATATTATATCTCTAGCACTTTGCTGTATACACATGTTACCATTCACTATCAATTGTTTTCTAGCCTAATATGTTAGGTCTCTCCAGATTTTGTCTCCATACTCCATATCACTGCCATTTAGATCATGCCCATAATTTTTCATTTTTCAAGGCAAGAGATTCTTACAAGTACAGCTAAGCATTCCCTATTCATTTGTTTGTGTGTGTGCGTGTGTTTTCATGTACAGTCTGCCACATTTAACTTTCTGTTTAGTTTTTTTATTTATTTATTTATTTATTGTGGTTATACAGACATCCATTCCTCTTCAAAATTGATAATATGAGGGTTAACATAAAAGAAATTTTGTACATTTTTACAAAATCTTCATATAGAAATATATGAATCATTACATCTTCAAATGTAAAATAGTAGCACACGGGGTAATAATATATTATATATAAATATAAATAAAGATGATAGTCACAGGTTCAATAAACAGAAAAGAGAACATTGTTTTATATTATTATTTAAGTTTCTTATAGGTTAAGAATTAAGTGGCTACAGTAACTAGATGAGAATGCTTCTAAAACATTAAATATAATTTGGAGGAACAACCCAATTTTAGGTGAGATTTCATCTTTGAGATGTGCAGACCTCAGCATGTCACAGCTTGGAAAATTACTTTCAATTTAAGTACATACTTGACATTATCTCATTGAAAATGTCAATTTTTTTTCAAAATCCCATTTTGAAATACGGTGTATTATTCCGGTCCAGATGGCAACAGTTATCTGCTGTGATTTTAGTTGCAAATGTGTGTTTTTTGTGAGTGTATCTATGTTTGTATTTTGTTTCTCAGCTGTGATTACCTAGCTGTATAGTTTCAGTATGAAATAAATACACCATTACTATGTTCCCAACGACGAGAGTATCATTGCATCCTTGTGTCATAATCTTGTCCTTTATTTGTGGATAGATTTTCAATAATGTGGTAGAGATTATCAGTGTGTGTAATGCATGATATGGACACTGGATCCAGGAAGTATTTCTATGAAACTATTTTCTCTTTGAATATATCACCTGCGTCCCATGTGGGTTCTGGGGACAACCCCAGCTATGCGCCTGGGCGAGAGGCAACGTTAAGGTTGTCAATTTGCTGCGAGCTCTTTCCCCATCGCTTCTTTGGTATTTCCCCAAATAGCCTATCCAATGAAACAAAATTCCCCAACTATGTTACGAGAAAATGTCTCCAAATTATGGATCAACGATATGAGCTGTCCCTATTTAGAAATGAGTGATCATGGCGGACGCAGCGAGGTGGAAGTCAGGCAGCTGTTGCCGGCCGTGACTAGCGCAGACGTTTCTTGCCCGATGGTGCTCCGCGCTTTCGAACCGATCTTCTGAAAGTGTGGTCCCGGAAGCTTGAGTCTTCCCCATGGAGCTTAGAATAGCTCTGACCTGAATGAACTACCTGTCTACCCTCAGTCGCTGTTCTCTACCATTGGGCGGCGTTAACGCCAAATCAGATGTCCAAAATGGAGTTTGGCGGGAAAGTGTTGTGCTGCTGTGCGCGTAAGCAATTCCTAGATAATTAGTAAGTTTTTGGCTGTATTAAGCATTGGCCGATGGACGTGTGTCTTATCATATTTATTATTTACAATGATATTTGTATTTTTACAGTTTGTTTAGTTTCTAGCTGCGCATCTCGTTCACAAATTTAATTTAAAGAAGCATTATCCTATCAAACAAATCAAATCACTATCTTTTTATTTTGAAAATAGTTCATAGTAAATATTATCATGACCTTAGCGACAATACTAAGGTGTGAATTTGTAATAAAATTAAATGTATGGAACATTTGGATCCACGTGCCCTTTCATTGGATGTGAAAAAGGTGCCAACGAATTTCGAGTCCCTGTGCTATTCGAGTAGAGGTGACGCCTTCCATATATTTTTATAAACTGTCGGCTTTTTAAATACTTATTTTAGACATTTGTATTAATTATTATCATCGAAAGAAATATTACCTTTATTAAACTTTAATACTAATTGTTTGGAAAAAATTCAGAACGTTCATAAACGCAGTACCAAATATGTTATTTTTCACTGAGTGGAGGAACTTCCAACACTAAGTTAAACAGAATTTAATTTGATTTAACTATTAATTTTTCAGCATATTAATTAAGATAAATATATGGTTATTTAAATAAATATTGCACTTTTTATAATTTTTTTAAAGTTTAGATTTATTTAGTGAAAAAACAGTAAAAAGTGAATATTACGTATGAGGGAGAAGATCATCTGCACATGTTTTCTGTAGCTCCAAAACCCCCTAACTATAAATAGTTGAAAGATGAGTAAAAGTTTAAAATAAATAAATTTAAAAAAAAAATTTGAACAAGCCGAGGTTAGCAATATTAAACAAAGAAATTCGTTCCCGAGTTATAGAATACTTATTTGCATCGGTAAATGAATTGCAAGTATGATTATTCTGCATTGCTAACAAAATAACTCGCCCTTGCCTCTACTTCAACCATTACGAGCAAAAGGAAAGTTTAACAGAACGTGCCCATTTGCTCAATGGATCAGGGAAAAACCTGATCGAGATGGGACGAAAACCGGAAGCTGAAGTACATTATTTGTTATAAACGTATATTTTTAACAAAATTATACAATACAAATGTAAACTAATTCAATCTATATCACTTTTTTGTTAAAATAAACATTATTTTTTCTTTTTGATAATCAGTATAATTTCTAATTGTATAGAAACAGTTATGCAGCAGAAAAGATTTTACTTTTAACTTAAATTTGTGAACCAACTTCAATCGTTTAATGTCATCTGGCAATGCGTTGTAAAGTATCGTACATGTATGTGGATTTCTGATTGTGAGCTGTTGATACTGATACTTGATGAACGTGATTTTTTCGACGTGTGTTGTAATTCTAAAAATCAGTATTGCATGAAAATATGTTCCCACTGTTTAGAAAGTCACTTTTGACAAATATTACAGATTCGTAATGATTTAGGCAAGGCAGTGGTAAAATTCCAAGCTCAATGAAGAGAGGCTTGCAGGAATCACGCGGATGGCATTTTTTCATTATTGGAATAATTTTCTTTTGCAATCCAAAGGTCTGAGTACTACATGATGAGTTTCCCCAGAATATTGTGACATATCTCAGGCGGGAATGTACCTTTTCGAAATACACGCAACGAGCTGCATGAAAGCTGACAGAATTTGAAGGAATTCAGTTTGCTGTGCTGAATTCCATTTTGACTGTTGAATTTCAACATTCAAGTCACGCGCATTTGTTATCCACAATGATTTTAATGTTCCATTTTTTATGAAACGTATTTTCAATAGTTTTCTTTTGCTAGGCAAGTTTTAACGAACATTAGATGACATGTCATGCAATACAATTGGGACATGACTTGATAGATGTGATTTGGTGGCAGAAGAATACAGTTGATTTGATGACCTACGTAAATATTTGGTCTTAGCTTTTACACAAATAGTCTTGAAGAAAAAGTTTTAGGTTTTACATAAATGAAGTCTTTGAAGATTCACACATTTTTATTGCTTCATACATACTACGATGTATGAAGCAATTCATACATATACGAGCAACACCTTCAGGCAATACAAGTAAATGACAATTTAATTATTGAGAGCTCTGTCCTTCACTGGGTTGTATATATTATAGCAAAAATTTGAAAAATCTGCATACATTTTCACGTGAAACATCTCAGAATGATAGGAAAATGTTTTGTCGTGTGAATTGCAGATTGCGCAGATGGGTGGAACTAGTTACCTACCTATGACTTGAAATAACCATCTAATTTGTTTGCTTCAAAGCAGAAATCTCCTTTCGTCTTCTTCTTGTTTCTGATTTTCTTTTTCCTGCACTTTTACCATTTTTTCTCTGGACCTCTTTTTTTTGGGGGGGGGGGGTATGCTCTCTCTCTCGACCCGACACTACGATTATACCAATAACATATCCAACTGCTTGAGTTACTCAATCGAATTTGTTTTGTTAAAACATTTACATCGTTTTTCTTTGCTTTTAGGGCATTTTGAAATTTAAGAGACCAGATCAGTAGAGACCCCAGACTAAAAGTACCATTTTCACTGCTATTTTATATCATTTCAACCGAGACACCGACGAGCAAAGAGACAAATTTGTAATAAAAAGACTCCCTGCCAAATACGACTTGACTGCCATCAAAGACAACTTGACCGCCCTCAAAATTACCACTCACCACATCACTGAAATGCAACGACGCGATGCCGTCGGGACATTGACACGAATAGATCTGTACACAGTAGAGACAAACAAAAAAGAAATAACAGACATCAAGAAAACACTCAGATTAATTGACTACTTTAGAGTGACCATTGAAGAATACAAGATGACAAACAGAATAAAAGTCCCTGCTGAACCTACCCACCTTGTTCGACATATTCCCCACGATATCCTTGATATTATTCTTCACTCCTTCCAAATACTAATAACCATTTACCATTCAAAATACATGAACGACTTATCTGACCACCTCCCAATAGTTTTCACCAGTACGTGAATCCTTAACTACGTACTTCCCAAACCCCCTTCAATACTAAAAACCGACTAGAATATATGTAAACATATACTTTCTAAGAAAGTACACGCCCCGACCCACGTCCCATATCCCGACCACCCAATCAATAAAAAACGTCATAGAACAGCTAACCCACCACATAAGACAAACATTCTGAAAAACCACACCCTACTCCAGACATTCTCACCCCGCCCTCCCTGAAGAAATCTTCCCAATCATACGACATAAACGACTAGTTCAACGACAATACTACAAATACAGACAAGACGAGGACAAACGAGAACTAAAAATGACACAGAAACTAATATACTACCTACTGAAACACCACGAGACTCATAAGTACGATGACCTACTATCTGATAAATGCTGCCCCAAATAAATTCACTAAGTAATAAAAGCAGCAAAAATCCACCCCAGTCCTATATCCCCTATCCTAACCAACAATAACACCCTAAACTTTCACCCCTTCGATCACCAATACCTTCGCCCAATCCTTGGCCGAACGCTTCCTTTACCCAACATCCCAATTTCAGACAGTGTTCTTTGAATCTTCCTTGAAACCCTACCCCTACCATCTGCCCTACAACATACATAGATGACGAAGGGTTTGGATGTGAAACAAATACTTAAGACGATAGACTGCAGTAAATCTCCCGGACCCGATTGAGTCCTGCCATCCCAACTCACCCACCTAACAAAAAACGCAATAGACCTGATCTCCCTCATCCTGAACTCCTACCTCAGACTGCCCTACTTCCGCTCCGCCTGGAAGATCGCTCGCGTTACCATGATCCCCAAACCTGGCAATGCTTGGTGAGGCTGGCAAGAACCTCATCGGCTACCATCTAACCACCGTCCCATTAGCCTATTACCCATCCTAAGTAAAATATTCGAAAAGATCTTCCTCCTCCTAACACCTATCGCTGATATCTTTATAGCCACCACACAATTTGGTTTCCGTGAGGGTCGCTCTGCGGCCCTCCAACCTATCCTTAGTCATAGCCACTCCACTCCAAGGTAGAAAATAAATTCCTGACATTTTCATCGATCTTATACAAGCCTACGGCACCGTCCCCCACCCAATCCTTCTCATGAACATCCGACCCTATATCCCCGATCACCGAACTACAAAGCTACTTAACACTTATCAAAACCGTTCCCAACTACCCAATCCAAGCCGGCGTCCCACAAGGCGCTGTGTTATCCCCTATCCTATTTTCCATTTATATAAATGACGTTCTACCCACACCAGGAGTACAAACATTCCTTTATGCTGATTACCTTGCCTACCTAGCATCCTTCCGTTACCTAAACCGATCCTTATCCTAACTCCAAGAATGCCTAAACAACTTCCACCTCTGGGCCTCCCAAAACTCCATTACCATGAACACGTCCAAATCCCAAGCCATCCTGTTTTCCTACAAAACATACCCATCCAAATCCCTCACCTAAACATTGCAAACGAACCTAACCCCTGGACACCACAAATATCCTATCTCGGCATAACCTTCTCCCGCAGATTCCTTCCCATTACATCCACAAAATTACCGCCAAAGCTACCAGGTAATGGTAATTTTAAGGCAGAATGTGCAGTAGCCTTCTAGCAGAGTCGCTGCTATTCCAGATGAAGCCAACGCTAGAGCAACATCATTTCGCGATCCTGATCCGATCCTCGCCAAAAGCAATGAAATTAAAAATGTTTTTCCGGTTCCTCCGGGAGCATCAAGGAATTAAATTCCACCAGAACCACTGTTCACAGCTTCTATCAAAGTGTCGTACGCATTCTTTGTCTTCTTCTCCATTTCAAGGATTAAGCAGAAATGCCTGTTCCGTCTTCACTTTGCACTTCAGGACCATCTGTTTCTGGGTCGGGCGATATCTCTTCTTCCCTACGGTTGGTAGTTCATCACTAATTGTGGAATACGATCTTCCTCCATTCTTTCGATATGGCGCCGCCAT